TTTAACTAGATTACTATGACAGAACTACCAGAATTATGTATGTACATCAATCATTTTAACTAGATTACTATGACAGAACTACCAGAATTATGTATGTACATCAATCATTTTAACTAGATTACTATGACATAATTTACCAGAATTATGTATGTACATCGATCATTTAACTAGATTACTATGACATAATTTACCAGAATTATGTAATTTACCAGAATTATGTATGTACATCGATCATTTAACTAGATTACTATGACAGAACTACCAGAATTATGTGTGTACGCCAATCATTTTAACTAGATTACTATGACAGAACTACCAGAATTATGTATGTACATCAATCATTTAGACTACCAGAATTATGTATGTACATCAATCAATTAACTATGACAGAACTACCAGAATTATGTATGTACGCCAATCAATTAACTAGATTACTATGACAGAACTACCAGAATTATGTGTGTACGCCAATCATTTTAACTAGATTACTATGACAGAACTACCAGAATTATGTGTGTACATCAGAATATGACAGAACTACCAGAATTATGTACATCAATCATTTATGACAGAACTAGATTACATATGATAACTATGACAGAACTACCAGAATTATGTGTGTACGTCATTCAATTAACTAGATTACTATGACAGAACTACCAGAATTATGTGTGTACATCAATCAATTAACTAGATTACTATGACAGAACTACCAGAATTATGTGTGTACATCAATCAATTAACTAGATTAATATGACAGAACTACCAGAATTATGTATGTACATCAATCAATTAACTAGATTAATATGACAGAACTACCAGAATTATGTGTGTACATCAATCAATTAACTAGATTACTATGACAGAACTACCAGAATTATGTGTGTACATCAATCAATTAACTAGATTACTATGACAGAACTACCAGAATTAACTCACTAGATTACTATGACAGAACTACCAGAATTATGTTTGTACGCCAATCAATAAACTAGATAACTACGACAGAACTACCAGAATTATGTGTGTACATCAATCAATTAACTAGATTAATATGACAGAACTACCAGAATAGATTAGGATTACGTTTTAATGTGTATTGATTTAAGTTGAACTTGATTCAAAATTTGGTGAATTTGAGATCTTTGATTAGTATTTTTACATTACAGTACCGGCTGTTCCTACAATGAGTGGACACTCCACCACTAGTAACTCAATAAATGTCACTCTAACCTCCGAAGGACACGTGGATAGATACATCGCTACCTCGTACATAACACGAACTCCTTGACAGGTAACCAATCACATCGTAAAGATAGACGGCCTCGATCATGATACCACCTGTGACGTCACCGTCATCGCCGTCTTCCATAAACTTAACAGTTCTGCTGCATTGTTCCGTGGTCTCCGTACAAACGAAACAGGTAAGTAAAGCCCGGCTGTGAGTTGTGAGCACCCTTATGATGGAAACATAACCATGTACCTAAAATCAGTGAATACCAACTAATGAATGAATCCTACACTTGTCTCGACTTTCTGTGACACATCATTAACGGTAGGTCCAAAATCCCAACTTAAGGACTGTTCCATCTACGTTAACCTTCATTAAGTTCTGGTGACACTTTACATGCGGTTGTGTGTTACATGCCCTCCTCCTTGTCTCTGTGTCGATATTGTTGTATATAAATTTTCTGTGTTTGTTGAAGCACATTATATAATCCATTGGTTACTATCTAGGTTAACTAGAATAACTCTTAGATTAACATCTCCACAGAAATATTTTCAGAATTAATCTCGGATAATGACTGTAAACGGGATACTGAAAGTATACACAAATATGAAGTTGTTTCAATTAAACATTTTAGAAACGCTTGAACGGACATATTGCACATGTTAATGAAATATTGTATCACATACTTCACAAGTGTTAGCGGGACCCTCGACCAGATACATAGTATGTGTTCGTAAAACCTCTGATGAGACACTTTGCTTGTGTCAAAGAAATGCTTGACCATACACATGGTAAGTGTTAGAGAAACGGACAACTTGTACATGTTATTGAAACGTTTGACCAAACACACTGTGTTGGTTAGTAAAATCCTGGACCAGTACAGGTTAGTGGGATCCTTTACCAAACATATTTCACATGTTAGTGGGATCCTTGACCAGACATATTTTACATGTAAGTGGGATCCTTGACCAAACATATTATACAGGTAAGTGGGATCCTTGACCAGACATATTTTACATGTTAGTGGGATCCTTGACCAGACATATTATACAGGTAAGTGGGATCCTTGACCAGACATATTTTACATGTTAGTGGGATCCTTGACCAGACATATTATACAGGTTAGTGGGATCCTTGACCAGACATATTTTACATGTTAGTGGGATCCTTGACCAGACATATTTTACATGTCAGTGGGATCCTTGACCAGACATAATTTACATGTTAGTGGGATCCTTGACCAGACATATTTTACATGTTAGTGGGATCCTTGACCAGACATATTATACAGGTTAGTGGGATCCTTGACCAGACATATTTTACATGTTAGTGGGATCATTGACCAGACATATTATACAGGTTAGTGGGATCCTTGACCAGACATATTTTACATGTTAGTGGGATCCTTGACCAGACATATTATACAGGTTAGTGGGATCCTTGACCAGACATATTTTACATGTTAGTGGGATCCTTGACCAGACATATTTTACATGTTAGTGGGATCCTTGACCAGACATATTTTACATGTTAGTGGGATCCTTGACCAGACATATTTTACATGTCAGTAGGATCCTTGACTAGACACATTTTACAGGTTAGTGGTACGTGTTTTTCCCTTACTTCACTTTAAGGTTTTTCCTGCAAAATGTTGTTTTTATGAATATGTCCCGCTGATAATGAGTTCTCGGCGATAGGTCAATGGATCCCCTGTTCTGATTAACAGTTTTACTTCGTAAAGAAGGCGGGGCTTAGCACTGTACTTAAATGGACAATTCTTAAAGCCACGAGTAGTTGATATGGGGTACTCAAACAATTATAAAAGTTACTGTTTACTCTTACAATATGTTTAATATTTTACGATATAGGTTGGTATTTAGACATTTCAAACTAAGCTCGTTTAATAAGAAAAAAGTAACACTTAAATCAGAAACTTGGCAATAAATTAGTTTTATTTCCCATGTCATTAAACAGAGACAGATTGTCTCTGTACTCCAACCATTACAGACAGATTATCTGTACTCCAACAAATAGAGACATATTGTCTGTACCCCAGCCAACAGAGACGGATTTCTGTACCAAAACAACAGACAGATTGTCTGTACTCCGACTAGAAAGGACAGATTGTCTGTACTCCGACCAGCAAGGACAGATTGTCTGTACTCCGAGTAGAAAGGACAAATTGTCTGTACTCCGAGTAGAAAGGACAAATTGTCTGTACTCCGACCAGCAAGGACAGATTGTCTGTACTCCGACCAGAAAGGACAGATTGTCTGCACTCCGACCAGCAATGACAGATTGTCTGTACCCACCCAACAGAGACAGATTATTGTACCCAAACCAACAGAGACAGATTGTCTGTACCCAAAACAGAGACGGATTGTCTGTACCAAAACAACAGACAGATTGTCTGTACTCCGACCAGCAAGGACAGATTGTCTTTACTCCGAGTAGAAAGGACAAATTGTCTGTACTCCGACCAGCAAGGACAGATTGTCTGTACTCCGACCAGCAATGACAGATTGTCTGTACTCCGATTAGCAAGGACAGATTGTCTGTACCCCAAGCAACAGATACATATTGTCTGTACCCACCCAACAGAGACAGATTATTGTACCCAAACCACAGAGTCAGACTCTCTGTACTACAGCCAACAGAGACAGATTGTCATATAGCTGTTTGAAAGACGTAATGAATGTATATGTAGGAATGCCGGACCAAATTGTTTTAAAAAAACACATATTACCTATTAAAATGAGTTTCTGTCTTTGATCCTCAGTTGATCCTTCTGAACACATCTGTCTATTTCAGAACTTGATATTTTAACGTTAATCCATTTGACGTTTGATAGTCACAAAAACTTTCAGAATTTATTTTCAAAACTTGTGCTTTTGTTATCTAACAGATTGAAACATGACGTCGATTTAATGATGAAGACAACGTCTTATTGTATCCACTGTTGTAGCTCCTGGTCCAGTTGGAGATTTAGTCGCCTTAACGTTGTCCTCTACAGCTGTTAGACTGACCTGGAACAAACCTATAAACCCGAATGGTGACATCACACAATACAGTGTACACGTCACCTATCCTAATGGAACATGTGTACAACTTATACAACTCCTGTTGACTGCCGGCAGAATAGCAATGACAGTAAGGAACATTACACTATTAACTACAACTTTACAAAAACAACATTAAAAGATCTAATCTGCAATGAAATAACAATTGTTGGTAATATTACTTACCGAAACAATAGATGATAATTTACTTACCGAAACAATGGATGACATTTTTACTTATCGAAACATTGGGTGACATTTTTACTTATCGAAACATTGGGTGATATTTTTACTTATCGAAACATTGGGTGATATTTTTACTTATCGAAACATTGGGTGATATTTTTACTTATCGAAACATTGGGTGATATTTTTACTTATCGAAACATCTCGTGATATTTTTACTTACCAACACAAAGGATGATAATTTTATTTACTGAAACAACGAATATTTTTACTTATCGAAACAATAGATGCTAATTTGACTTACCGATAGATAATTGATCTACCGTTACCAGATTACAAGACATTACATGTATATACTGTTATATAACAACTATCTACAGCTACATATGTTGTCTGACTTTTCCTTTTTACTTTTATGAAGTCGTCTTGTAAAATTACCAAGAATGGTACCTTCACCAGAGACCAGAAGGATTTTAATGAGACTATCACTGGACTGAGTGCCTATACCAATTACACGTTCACAGTGTACGCCTACACATCTGTCGGTAAAGGGACGGAATCATCTAATAGCACCAACACCAGTCAAGACAGTACGTACACAACCAGTAATAGTGGAAATATTGGTCCATCAATAGAATCAGTACTGATAGTAACCCCGGTCTCCCTTAGAATCAGTTCTGATAGTAACCCCGGTCTCCCTTAGAATCAGTACTGATAGTAACCCCGGTCTCCCTTAGAATCAGTTCTGATAGTAACCCGGGTCTCCCTTAGAATCAGTTCTGATAGTAACCCCGGTCTCCCTTAGAATCAGTTCTGATAGTAACCCCGGTCTCCCTTAGAATCAGTACTGATAGTAACCCCGGTCTCCCTTAGAATCAGTCTCCCTTAGAATCAGTTCTGATAGTAACCCCGGTCTCCCTTAGAATCAGTACTGATAGTAACAATATTCTCCCTTAGTATCAGTACTGATAGTAACATTGGTCTCCCTTAGAATCAGTTCTGATAGTAACCCCGGTCTCCCTTAGAATCAGTACTGATAGTAACAATATTCTCCCTTAGTACCAGTACTGATAGTAACATTGGTCTCCCTTAATATCAGTTCTGATAGTAACCCCGGTCTCCCTTAGAATCAGTACTGATAAAAACCCCGGTCTCCCTTAGAATCAGTTCTGACAGTTACCCCGGTCTCCCTTAGAATCAGTACTGATAGTAACAATATTCTCCCTTAGTATCAGTACTGATAGTAACATTGGTCTCCCTTAGAATCAGTTCTGATAGTACTACTGATAGTAACAATATTCTCCCTTAGTATCAGTACTGATAGTAACATTGGTCTCCCTTAATTGGTCCCCCTTAGTATCAGTACTGATAGTAACATTGGTCCCCCTTAGTATCAGTACTGATAGTAACAATAGCCTCCCTTAGTATCAATACTGATAGTAACATTGGTCTCTCTTAGTATCAATACTGAAAGTAACATTGGTCTCTCTTAGTATCAGTACTGATAGTAACATTGGTCTCCCTTAGTATCAGTACTGATAGTAACATTGGTCTCCCTTAGTATCAGTACTGATAGTAACATTGGTCCCCCTTAGTATCTGTACTGATAGTAACATTGGTCTCACTTAGTATCAATACTGAAAGTAACATTGGTCTCACTTAGTATCAGTACTGATAGTAACAATAGCCTCCCTTAGTATCAATACTGATAGTAACATTGGTCTCTCTTAGTATCAGTACTAATAGTAACATTGGTCTCCCTTAGTATCAGTACTGATAGTAACAATGGTCTCCCTAGTATCAGTACTGATAGTAACAATGGTCTCCCTAGTATCAGCTCTATAGTAACATTGGTCTAACTAGTATCAGTACTGATAGTAACAATAGTCTCCCTTAGTATCAATACTGATAGTAACATTGGTCTCCCTTAGTATCAGTACTGATAGTAACATTGGCTTCCCTTAGTATAAGTACTGATAATAACAGTAGTCTCCCTTAGTATCAGTACTGATAGTAACAGTGGTTATCCTCACTATCAGTACGGTTTGTTACAAATGGCAACATTGGCAACTTAGTACAGGTGATGATTGGTCAATATGGAGAACTAAGTACAGGTGATGATTGGACAGTATGGTGAACTAAGTACAGGTGATGATTGATCAATATGGTGAACTAAGTACAGGTGATGATTGGTCAGTATGGTGAACTAAGTACAGGTGATGATTGGTCAGTGTGGTGAACTAAGTACAGGTGATGATTGGTCAGTATGGTGAACTAAGTATGATTGGTCAGTGTGGTGAACTAAGTACAGGTGATGATTGGTCAGTATGGTGAACTAAGTACAGGTGATGATTGGTCAGTGTGGTGAACTAAGTACAGGTGATGATTGGTCAGTGTGGTGAACTAAGTACAGGTGATGATTGGTCAGTGTGGTGAACTAAGTACAGGTGATGATTGGTCAATGTGGTGAACTAAGTACAGGTGATGATTGGTCAGTGTGGTGAACTAAGTACAGGTGATGATTGGTCAATATGGTGAACTAAGTACAGGTGATGATTGGTCAGTATGGTGAATTAAGTACAGGTGATGATTGGTCAGTATGGTGAACTAAGTACAGGTGATGATTGGTCAGTATGGTGAACTAAGTACAGGTGATGATTGGTCAGTATGGTGAACTAAGTACAGGTGATGATTGGTCAATATGGTGAACTAAGTACAGGTGATGATTGGTCAATATGAAGAACTAAGTACAGGTGATGATTGGTCAATATGGTGATCTAAGTACAGGTGATGATTGGTCAACATGGTGAACTAAGTACAGGAGATGATTGGTCAATATGGTGAACTAAGTACAGGTGATGATTGGTCAATATGGTGAACTAAGTACAGGTGATGATTGGTCAATATGGTGAACTAAGTACAGGTGATGATTGGTCAGTATGGTGAACTAAGTACAGGTGATGATTGGTCAATATGGTGAACTAAGTACAGTTGATGATTGGTCAATATGGTGAACTAAGTACAGGTGATGATTGGTCAGTATGGTGAACTAAGTACAGGTGATGATTGGTCAGTATATTTTGTTTCAGACTAATATTACTACTTCGTTATGATATATATATCCACGTGTATTTGTGTGTGTACATATATTACTTTTGTTTTTCAGTACCACACAAGATTACAGATTTAAAAACTTACAATACAACATCATCTACAATAACAATTTCGTTTAACGAACCACAACCAAGCACTGGTCCAATAACGCAATACGATATACAGTACGTGTACCAGGAACGAGTCTGTAACAATGGTTTGAGGTCAGGTCAGAATACCATAACAAACCATACCAAGTGTACGCCCTCTAGTGATCGTCCGACTGTCTGCTCTCTAGACAATCTCTATCCCTACTGGAACTATAATATAAGTGTGAGGGCATACACCATAAAAGGACCCGGTGACTTGAGCGACCCTATAGTAAGCCAGACAGCCGAGGACAGTAAGTATCATTACAGGGAATACTGATCACAATATCAGTATCGCTGTTAATCACTTAACTGTCTATCTGGAATGGTGTTTATATTTAATAAGTATTCAAATAGAATCATTATAAAAATAATTAAATGACAGCTGCTATTATATTCATATTATTCTAGAGCCGAGTCCTATAAATAACCTCCATCACACCAAGGTCACAGCTTACAGTGTAACTCTGGAGTGGTCCGCGCCTTGTCCCCCTAATGGCATTATCCAGGAATACGTCATACGCTGGAACAACATGGATATCAACACAAGAAACAAATCAGTGTCATACCTAAAGAAGGACCTAAAGCCATACAGGAACTATACATATCAGATAGCAGCTGTGACAGTGGCTGGTACTGGGGAGTACACCGATGAACAAATCGTCACAACATTAACTGATAGTAAGTATATACTGTTATCAAATAGTATATTATATTGAAACAGTATCCATTTAAACTTTCTGTCTCTGTTTAAAAGATGTTAACGTTTTATCTAATGCACTAATTGCTAAAGTCATTGTTACATATGCTATACATTAAACATTCCTAATAATATGTGTTTGTCTTTGTATGTCATTTTCACTCAATTCAAAACTCCATACTGGTCGTTTACCTATTCCCGACAAGGCTTAATGAAATGTTTATTAAATTGCACAACTCGCCAATGTTTCCAGATTGTATAAACCAAATATTTCCTGTAACGAAACCTATTGAAGATTCTCGTTTATCAGCGATACTTTGACGAGAATTGGTATTTGCAGAGGATAAGTTGGCTACTTGCAGATATTCCGTTTTATGTCGAAGGGTAGACAAGTATTTGTCAATTATTCTGGTACACAAACCTTCCGGTATGGAATGGTTGGCCAGCTTGGTTAAGGGGAGGGCATGGGGTAGCTCAGGTGTCGGAACAGGCAAATCATGCACCGTGTGAGGTATGTACGTTACTGACACGTCATTGATATACGGAAGAGTGAACGAGTGACGTCACAGACGGCATTGGTGTTCAGGTTGGTATTGTGTGAAGTTCCTCGTGAATAATCTGTCTCTAGAAAATATATTTAGCATAAAGTTGTGTTGTAAATATTAACGTTTCTTTTCTCCCCGACATAGGACACTTTATACCACTAAAATTTACGTTAAATATCGTGATCTCGACCTTGTCAGTGGAATTAGGAATTATTGAAATCTTCGATTTTTTCCCTCAAATATAATTAAAGAACTACGACGCCCAACAAAAGTTTCGAAAAGAAATGACCTTGATCCTTATTCAAGGTCACAGAGATCAAAATATTTAAATATTTTTTTTTTATCAACAAAAGACCTGGTGACACGATTCTTTAATGGTAGGTCTTCCGAATGAATCCTTACAAACTTGGCAAAATGAAATGCCTGGGATGGATATTTAAGATCACAGGGATCACATTTGTAAAAACTATTAATAGACTCCTTCTGGTAAACCAAAAGCGGGATATTTGGTGGAAAGATGTTCCCAAGTCAAAATCCGATAAAATCCGGAGAATGAGAAGTAACATTTGTCTATAATCTAGGTCATAACTATCACTGCTTGCAGTTGAGTGTAAAAAGTTTTGGAAATATGTTTAAACATATTGGATGTGCCCATTGTGAATGCCATTAGTATATGTGTTAATGTATTTGTGGTGAACATTGATTACCGGTCGATGCAGATCCATTGGGCCTCTTATAATCAACATAACTTTGAATATCAATGACGTGGTCAAATATCAATAATATCAAACATTAATATCAAAACAACTTGTCTATGACAGATCCGTAACAATGGAACAATATAGACAACAGTGGTTGGCTCTGTTAGATTGTGACTACAAGCCTCCTTAACTTATATCCTTATCATAACTGTCATTGTTTATATGAGATCAACATCAACTGATTTATCAAAATATTAGTAAGTTGTGATATTACAGAGTCTGTCTAATATTTCTTCCAGTTCCACATCCACCACGTAATGTCACGGTTCCTACAAAGATGGCTACCAGTGTTAGCGTTAAGTGGACAAGTCCAGATTTAAAAACCGGACCTACCAGTTACACGGCCACGGCAATAGATGTACGAACAAACAGAAATATATCATCTTGTGGAACCCATGGTATGTTTGAAAAATAAAAACCTCAGTGTGAACATTGGTCTTCTACTTCATAGTGAAAACTGTTGAGACAAAAAGTGATATATCCTAACAATTAACGGAGAAAATTACAAAATACAATTCAGTTCTTTAGTATTACTCACATGTATAGGATATCAAATTTCCATTACATTGACCGATTAGTTTTTAACTATGTTATAGTTGAAATGATACCTTTTCTCTGAGTTTTGAGTTGTATAAATTCCTTTCATTACAATTTGTTTGAGGTATTTGCGAATATTTCAGGAAACACGTGTTTCTTTCCTACAGTTTTATTGGTTTATATATGTTGGTTCCATTGTGACGTCATGATGTCGTCATTCATCATTTTACGACACCATAACATCATTTTCGGCACAATTTGATAATGATACTTTGCCGCTGTTTCTATGCTGGAATGACTTGATCACTAAGTATTCACGATGATGCCATTTGTAATTAATACTGATTTATTGTCTGTTGTTTACACAGTGTTTCCACGAAAATACGAAAAACGTCATTTCACCTTCTTACATTTGAAACTTTACTAAAAACTTACCTGACAACCTCTGAAAAATAAATACTTGTTTAATCAATCTATAGTATAATGTAGTATTCGGTCTTTTACAGGTTTCGACAAAACTGAATGTACCATAAAACACCTTAAGGAATACTGGAACTACACCATTTTCGTGCTATCCTCCACAGTGAACGGATCAACCAATAGTACTCCAGTGTCCATCACAACTGACCAATCAGGTATATCCTCTCGAAGCCATACTTTGACTGGACATTATTCCGGAGCAAATTTGAAATGACAACAATGACAAAGATGAAATGTATTGTTTACATTCTGACTAAACTGATCGCGGCTGAGTTCTATTGCCGGGTCTCCAAACGCTTTAGTAATAACAACAGACAAGCAATAAAACGATATCGTCCATATATAATTTGGAATATCGACTACGCTTTACTTGATAACATTGTATTCATTTTATAGAATCTCTGTATATTCTACAACAGTAATTGTTCAATAATGCTATATATTTTACCGACAGTACCCGGAAAAGTGACAGGTCTGTCTGTCAGTGCTCAGGAAAACGTAATCAAGCCACGTACAGTCAACGTAACCTGTCAACCACCAGTAATGATGGAACTAAATGGTATAATCACCGGGTACATACTTACCTGGGGATACTATACGATGATTAAGGTGGGTCTACCTGTTTTCACCGTTTGATACTGGTCGTATATTAATTAACTTTTTATTATTATAAGAAAAGGGTTTTTTTCGAATGAGGTATTTCACATTTATACTCTTCTGATGAAAACAGTGTTTTATGTGAAATGATGGATACAGATTTTTCTGACAAAATCTTATTGTTTTGGATTATTTACGGATGACACACATCAGGAAATGGAATGATGTATACTGACATAACAAAGTGAAATTATTCCCATTTAGAATTCGAGTTCATCGTGTCATTGGTTCCTTGATGTCGATCCAGAAAAGACATATACATTCACAGTAAGTATTATGGTTGGTGATATAAACTTATTAATGTTTGTTTATAAACACTGGAAATTTAGTGAATTCTGCCATTCATGAATACTACTGATTAAATCTAGAAAAAGTCGAAATGTGCGCAAATGCTTTCAAGATGTTCAAAACGTAGTCGCCAGTTAAATTCAGTCGCTATGTTCCGAAGAATTGATGTTGTGCATTCTACTATGTATCTTAAGCATGTCAGTGATAAGGGTAATGCTGGAATCAGCACATCTGTCTGTCTGTTCGTCCGGCTGTAAAATCTTCCGTTGGTCAAATAAAAAATCCGCTCGTGATGATGATGTAAGAAACATTTTAGATAGAGCCGATGATGTTCAGCTATTCATGTTACACCAAAACAACTGTTAATTTGGGGAAAAGTCATGTTGAATGTCATACATTATGAATCATATAATTGATAGCGATAATAAGTGTCAGGGATTTTGATATTTTCCAGGTCGTGGCAAGGACGATAAAGGGACCTGGTAAAAACGCTTCGACAACGCTTTTTATACCCGCAGGAGGTAAGACATGTCGAGCTGTTCTGATTAAATTTGAAATTAAAGGATTGACTCTTGTTACTTTGACATACGACACTGCTGAAATACATGTGTTTTAGAAATGGCCTACATGATATAAGCATATGTGAAAACTGAATAAATTCTTTGTGACGTCGTTCAAAGTTCCCTTTCTTTCACCAACACAATGAAAACTGTTTCAGTATCAATTTCAATATTTTTCCTGATTTGAATACATTGCGAATAAGGGGAGTGTGTATATTTGTTTGTCCATAATATTTTCTTTACTAAAATTTACCGCCATGTGCTTTTTTCTTCTTTTTCTATTATTAGCAAATTTGGTGACATGAATGAATGGATGCTAACCTCGTCTGACACGTACATGTGTGTCTTATAATTTTCAATTTCTTATGTAGCTCCATTGCTGGCAAATGAGAGCGCGACAATGATAAAACTGGGGTCATCTTCAGATGTCAGCGACCCAGAAAAGCAATTCCGGGTGGATTTTGATACCAAACTCGTGTGTAACACCAAAAACGGAATCGTCTCAGCTCATTACGTTATTGTGTCTGAATCATCTCAAACTAACACTGGTATGATTTTACCTTGTAAACCGTACTAAATAAACCAATGAAATAATCATAGAAATGATAGGCTGCTTTAGATCATTAATAATGTATAAAAACACTAGTCAGTAAACCAACTGTGTTCAGACTGTGAGTTTGACCACATTTTCATTAAAACCAAAACATCTTGAGGGTTATAATTATGGATTGAAAGGTCTGTGTATATTATGTTTGTGTTGTCTGTTTAGCTGTTGTCAACTTTAACCTTGCCTATAACTATTGCACCGTAAGAGTCAAGGCTTTCATATTTGACATGTGTGTTCCTTGTGACAAGAATTAACTTTCCAAAAAAATACTTACATTTTGCACTATTGCACCGTAAGGGATTTCATATTTGACACGAACTTTCTGGTGGTACCAAAATGTGTAACCATGTGACCTTGACCGTGACAGTAAATCAACGAGGGTAATAATTGTCTTTATAGTCCAAAGCATCAAGATAAGGGACCCACTACCAGCTGCTAACATTGTTTTCAATCATGAGAATATCTGTTTCACTGTGGCGATGTGTATTATTTATGTTTTGTCCTTTATTCAGTTCTAAGACCTTTCCGTGGAACTAAAACTTCTTATGAAAGTCAACTGAAAACCCGTTATAAGCATTGGAGCAATGTAAAAGACGCAGACAACATCACCCCATATGTAGCGTCCAGGTCCTGGGATCCTTGTCCAAAAAGTAAGTATACCTGATAGCGTCGGTTTATTTGTATATAGAGGTGTATTTGCTATTCTTTTGAAATAGATAGATATATGAAATTTTAGATGTTCATTAAACTATGAGGCTTGCACACCTCCCAATCTAGATTTTGACACTTCTTTCGAACAATTTTGAAGCCCTCAGTCGTCCCCTATGTTTCGAATGTTTGCCCTTCAGCATCACTGACGAGTCCTAGAAGGCCAAAGGGTCGCGACAGCTGAGTGGTTCATGCGTCTGAACGTTTTTTTATCATTAGATCTCCACCTCTGGGTCGTGGGTTCTTTAGCATCAGTGAGGAGTCTTAGAAGAGCGAAACGACTGTGTGATGTAGTTTGCTTCATTATTTGGCTTATCTCATCTTAATTTGGATTGAAAAGTGTTATTCATTTGTGTGTATTTTGTAAAATCCGTTGGAACTGTCAAATATTTATTTAAAAAACAAAACAAGAAAATACCAACGTGACAAGAATCATGATCCAACTTGTATTAAACTATGGCAAAACACAAACAAGAGCAGTATTTACACTGAGATTCCTGAATAAGTCAAAAGTGAATAAGATCAGAAATATCGGAGGCGCAAACGCCTTCTGCTTCATCGACGACACTCGTCATGCAAAATCTTATCAATAAAACTAAGTAATGTCATGTTCTCAAATGGGAACAAGGCATACAACAATGGAACCAACAATCAAACTGGCATCAAACACGGTCATCTCCGTATCACACAAAGAAATAGAATGCTTCTTCATGACATCACTATGGTGACCATAAAACTTCCCCATAATTTCTATCAAGCTGCATCGTTTGAAACACTGTGTTACGAGCTGTCCATGAGTTGAGGACTTCTTAAGTAAAATTCATGCTATTTTCATGTCGAATCAACTGCGACATGTTGAAACAATAGGTTGAGAATGTTGTAGTGTTGCTATTGAGAAATGGAACATTCACAATAGGGAAATTGAAGTCACCACGATTATCATACAGTTTAGCGGAAAACTGTCCATGTTGGTTTCGTTGTAGGAGAAGATGAGATGAGCGACTGATGAAGAATATTCTGCCGTATTCTTTATTTTAATGTTATCAGTAAACGGATTTATTGTTCGTTATGTTAGACCCCACCTCTCCCGTCCAACGAAATTATGAGGTCCTCCCTGACCACATCGAAAAGTCTTGGCCTTTCATTTACATATAGTGTATATGTATCATTTTATATCCTCAAATCAAGGGACACTACTCCACATATTTTAACTTTCTGTATATGTGTTTTCTATGTAGTCTTTCAGTAATTACTAATAAAATACAATAGAAGGGAGACTACTCCACAGACTCTCATTTTCTATATATGTATGTTCTGTATAACATTACATGTATTACTGGTAGAAGACTAAGGGAGACTACTCCACAGACTGTAACTGTTTATGTATGCACGTTCTATTAAACCTTACAGATATTACTAGTGAAAGAAGACTAAGGGAGACTACTTCACAGATTGAAACATTCTATATATGTATGTTCTATACAACCTTACAGGTAATGCTGGTAGGAGAAGACGAAGGGAGACTACTCTACAGACTGTAACTGTCTATATATGTATGTTCTATACAACCTTACAGGTAATACTGGTAGAAGAAGACGAAGGGAGACTACTCCACAGACTGTAACTGTCTATATATGTATGTTCTAAATAACCTTACAGGTAATCCTGGTAGAAGAAGACTAAGGGAGACTACTCCACAGACTGTAACTGTCTATATATGTATGTTCTAAATAACCTCACAGGTAATACTGGTAGAAGAAGACGAAGGGAGACTACTCTACAGACTGTAACTGTCTATATATGTATGTTCTAAATAACCTTACAGGTAATCCTGTTAGAAGAAGACGAAGGGAGACTACTCTACAGACTGTAACTGTCTATATATGTATGTTCTAAATAACCTTACAGGTAATACTGGTAGAAGAAGACTAAGGGAGACTACTCTACAGACTGTAACTGTCTAAATATGTATGTCCTATACAACCTTACAGGTAATACTGGTAGAAGAAGACGAAGGGAGACTACTCCACAGACCGTATCTTTCACCGTTGGGAACGATGGCGATTGTTCTGGCGACTGTAATGGCTACGTACAGCCCGGCCGATCGTACAAGTAAGTTCTACATCGTTGTATCATTTATACAGATATCGTAGTAGTGAAACGGGGATGGGATTTAGGGCAGAGGACGCTACGACACCAACTCAGCCAGGTTCAGTTCATACATATTTATTCAGAAATAGATGAAAACCTGAAACAATACAACACTATATTAGACGGACAGTACATTACGGATTACCATAGGACACAATTTCAACAATACTATAAGATAACAATACCATCACAGATTGGACTTTACATTACATTACAATGCATTACATTACATTATCTTAAAATACTTGAAACTTGAGATTACTGATGACTTTACAGACAATAGTTTAATTATAATATTACATGTGTACTATATTAATCACTATGACATGTTACTTTCAACAAACTATATAGATATACCTAATTTGAACTGAACATGAACACTTACAGTGTTCTTGAATACAATGTATATGATACGATGGCTATGATGAACAATGGCTTGGCCTAAACAACAAATATAAAAAAGGTTCTCTGAATACAAAGACTACTACAATTACTTCCATAAGATGTACAATACATACATGACTAAATTAGGATTATTTTAAATTCCCAAATTCCTAGAATAAATTAATTACTTTTAAACATTATGGATATTTCAAAATGGCCACAAGCCTGAACACTTTTCACCTGACACACTAGCACAGTGAATCAATTAAAATAAGATATTACAGATATATAAAGTGCACTAGTATAGCACATCATAATTGACTATGTAAATCAGTTACTATTACATTATTAACATTGAATAAAATTAGACATTAATACATTTAAACAAGTTAAAAGTTCCTACCTCCTGCCTGGTGTCTGTTATCCAGTCAGCACCGAGATACCCCTGTCCAATGCTCATGCCCAGCATGTGCAGTGGGACAGGTAGGGAAAAAGTCACATGACCAGCAGTGGGACAGGTAGGGGAAGGGTCACATGACTAGCACACAGGTAAAGGTCACAGAACACAAACATAAACAGAAGCACATGACACTACACGGCTGACAGCTGGACAATAACACAGGACAGTACTAGACACCACGATACTGCACAATCATCATTATTATCATGTTATTACAATTTAATTACAATGCAGAATATACTGTTTATTAATAATATATATATATATCATCATCTGAAAAACCCGGACAGACTGTCTCTGCCACAGTAGGATTATCAAATGTTCACAAGGGGCCAGCTAAATTATACATGTATCATGTATGGTTATCAGAGATATAGGAAGTGTGTCATTATGTTAAATCTGAAATTGTGGTTGGCTCCGAAGACGGATATTTTCTAGATACTAACTTCATATGGAAATTGCATTGAATCTGATAAAAGCTTTCAATAACTTATATAATTTGGTGCAATTTACCATCATTTCGTGAATTACACAAGCTTAATACTGTTAACAAATATATCGGATAGAATAGTGTGTTGCTCTGATTATCATGTTTAAGAGTGATGTATAGATATAAATATTTAAATATGAAATTCACAAAAATTCATAAAGTGTACTTAAAGTTATACTTTAACCCATTTGTGGCAGAAATAAAATATATCAACATCTTTTTCAGTAATAGTTAAAACTTATTACAGCAATGAAGGCAAATGTACCTACCAATATTACCCATCGGTTTACTTAAAGAATTAATGTATGCATATATTTCAGGGTAAGGGTAGCTGTCTGTACAGCGGGAGGATGTTCTGAGTCAGAATGGAGTAATTCCATAGAAACAGGTGAGTGAGAGTGCTGATTAAAACATATTGGTAATCAAAGACATTAGATACAAGTGATAACATTTTTTCATGCTTTCTCCTAACAGATAAACAGTTCATATGTTATTCATAGCAGCA